CCTGAAAGACTCTTCCTCTTGGACTGCGGTCTAGACCCAGACTGGGCAGGACTTCCCAGCTTGCAGATTTGTACCGTTTAGGAGACGCAGGAGTAGGGTGTAAAAGCCCAGATTCAGGAGTCAAACAGATGTGGTTTGAACCCTGATTTGCACTTACTAGCTCTGTGACCTTCAACGAGTGACTAAAAATTCATGGGCCATATCTTTTTTATGTGCAAAACGTCTGCGGGGGGATATGGAAGTGTTTTCTGTGACTGTAGAAAGCTGCTAGCAGCGTTTGATATGCAGTCGTGTCACTAAGCAGCAGGAACCTTTTGTTAGAATTTCGGGGCTGCTTACAGATCGAAGGCTGGAAAACTCGGTATGCAGTGGAGGCTGAAGGGGGAACACGGGCGCCCCCACGTGTGAGGCGCATTAACTGCAAGGGCGGTACCCTAGGTCAGTCCCATGGGCCTCCTAGTGCAGGGCGGTGGTCACTAAATGTTGCTCTTCCTCACACCAGCTCTGTGGCTTTGGGCACGTTCCCTTGACTGCGAGACAAGGGTTTGAGCCAGATGGTCTCGAGACCCCACGTGATTTGTAAATGAGTCAGGCGTGATATCTCAGTCTGGGCTGCTTTTTCCTAGCAGGGTTCCGTTTCTTTTGTCCCATTCAGGCTCTCAGGCCAGCTGTTGGAAACTCCCCAGCCATTCGCAGCTTGCCTCCTGAAATCAGTTCAGTTTCCACCGTGGCTGCTTTGAGGAACAATGTTCGTTGGTTGCATAATTCTGGTACAATTTTTGCTACCTCATTAATTGGGTCACAATGAAGACACTGCTTTCCATTTGAGACTCAAGACATTAATTTTTTTTTTTTTGAACAGTCTTGCCCTGTCACCCAGGCTAGTGTGCAGCCATCTTGGTTCATTGCAACCTCCGCCTCCTGGGTTCAATCAATTCTCCTGCCTCAGCCTCCCAAGTAGCTGGGATTACAGGTGCCTGACACCACGTCCGGCTAATTTTTTGTATTTTTAGTAGAGATGGGGTTTTACCATGTTGGCCATGGCTGTCTTGAACTCCTGACCTCAGGTGATCCACCTGCCTCAGTTTCCCAAAGTGCTGGGATTACAAGTGTGAGCCATCATGCCTGGCTTGTTCATTTTTACAGTGAGGTATAATTTTCATGCTGTTTTTTTTATCTACAAAAAATGAGAAAAACCCAAAATGATTAGTTAAAACTATTTCAAAACATGGGACCTGTGCTGGCTGTGGTGGCTCACACCTGTAATCCCAGCACTTTGGGAGGCTGAGGTGGGCAGATCACTTAAGCCCAGGAATTTGAGTCCAGCCTGGAATATAGAGTGAGACCCTGTATCTACTGTAAATACAAAAAAGCCAAATGTGGTGGTGGCACACATCAGTAGTCCCAGCTGCTCAGGAGGCTGAGGTGGGAGGATCACTTGAGCCTGGGAGGTGGAGGCTGCAGTGAGCTGACTGCACAGCTGCACTCCAGCCTGGGGGACAGAGCAAGACTCTGTCTCAAAAACAAAAACAAACAAAAATGGGCCCCATGGCAGGGGTGGGAGCGGGTGAAGGGGACCCTGCCAGCAGGAAGGTTGGAAGCCACTCTGAGGAGTCCCCAAGGAAAGGTGTACAGTGGGCGGCTGTGGAGGATGTCACAGAGGACTACGGCAGTACCCAGGCTCCTCGGAGTCTGCAGCAGCTCCTCGCAAAGGAGAAGCACGTTCGGGGCACTCGGGACCACAGTCTTGCTCAGAAGAGCTTGGCCTCCTTAGGCTTCTGTGATTTCGGTGTTTACCGACCACATCTATCCTCCATCCCAGCTCAACAGTTTGTGATCATCAAGAACCCTACAGTAATAGATATTGGCCGTTTTTATTAAGTTCTCAAGGAAAAGGACAGAGGAGGAATGATAAATCTCAAATTTCTTTTTTGAGACAGAGTTTCACTCATTACCCAGGCTGGAGTGCAATGGTGCAATCTCAGCTCACTGCAACTTCCAACTCCCGGGTTCAACCGATTCTCCTGCCTCAGCCTCGAGTAGCTGTGATTAAGGCACCTGCCCACCACACCCAGGTAACTCTTTGTGTTTTTAGTAGAGACACAGTTTCACCATGTTGGCCAGGCTGGTCTCAACCTCCTGACCTCAAGTGATTCACCTGCCTCAGCCTCCCAAAGTGCTAGATCATAGGCGTGAGCCACCGGGCCAGCCAATTTTTTAACATCTAATTACAACTCACTTTCAGCAAGTTCATCTTGAACAGGCAACACAGGAGACTGTGGTATCTTTGTTGTTTGAGCAGTCTACTAGTTTTGTCCACTAGCGTTGTTCCTAGCTCAACTCCTTATGTCAGCCCTTCACTGACCAGGAAGCTGAGACTGGCTCAGCTGACCTGAAAAGTTATTAGAATCGGTGCACCCTGTTAGAAACCTCTTACAGATCCAGTGGGGTGTGTGTGTGTGTGTGTGTGTGTGTGTGTGAGAGAGAGAGAGAGAGAGAGAGAGAGAGAGAGAGAGAGAGAGGAAAGAGAGGGGGCGCGGAGAGAGAGAGAGAGAGTTTATCAGGTTAAGAATGGCAGCCACAGTTGTAGAACTGAAGACAGTCACCCCGGAGGGAATGGAGTGAGTGGGAGTGGGAGTGTGACAGTGTCTTATTATCACTCATCTTGGGATGGGAGAAGCCTCCTTTTTGTGTTCATCTGAAAACCCCTCCCGGAGCTTGCAATCACGAGCATCAGCATCCCATAGGCTTTTTCAGTTCTTGTGTTCTGGTTAACTTGGAGCACAGATGTGCAATCAGCACTTTTGCAAAACGAACTCCCCGCTCTCCCGGGTTTTAGCCAAAGTGAGCTGGCATGCTCAGACCAGAAAAAACATGGACTCTGAAAAATGAGGTCTGTTTTAATATCATCTTCGCTTTGATGATTTTCTTTCTTATCAAATAGCCTTTTTGCAAATGCCACTGCCACTGCTATCTGGAGGAGCCAGAGCTTATAGGGCAGCACCATGTACCTGCAGGATAAGGGACAGGGTCTCAGTGACTGAAATGACAGCAACAGTGTAAAGTGGCAGGAGATCCCTGGAGATTCCACTTCCAAGCTAAGCCTCGCGGAGACAGCGCATGCTTGTTACTACAGGGTGATGAACATTCGCGCTCCAGCTTCAAGCAAGCAAGGCAAGGGTGCAATCTGAAGAGCAGGCGTCAACATCACAAAATGATGTAACAAGCAAACCAAACCCGGAACACCAAGTCCCACTCTAAAAGAAAAAGCTTTCCAAATGGCTGTGTCCCATGAGCTCGGTCCACGAGACAGCTGGGGGCTCTGCACTGGGGGGGGGTCTGTCCTAATACTCCCCACCCCTGGCTCATTTGGTGCATATTCAGAGACTAGAAACTTATTTTCATTATTGTTAAGGCAAACATGATCACAGAGTAATCACAGCTCAAGTTAATTTTGTTACTGCTCACCTTTCTTTGAGGCATTTAAAAGTCCAATTTTAGACTGGGCGTGGTGGCCTAAAGTGTAATCCCAGCACTTTGGGAGGCCGAGGCGGGTGGATCACGAGGTCAAAAGATCGAGACCATCCTGGTCAACATGGTGAAAACCCGTCTCTACTAAAAATACAAAAAATTAGCTGGGCATGGTGGCGTGTCCCTGTAGTCCCAGCTACTCAGGAGGCTGAGGCAGGAGAATTGCCTGAACCCAGGAGGCGGAGGTTGCGGTGAGCCGAGATCGCGCCATTGCACTCCAGCCTGGGTAACAAGAGTGAAACTCCGTCTCAAAAAAAAAAAAAATAGTCAAATTTTAAAGATAGATGCGCTCCTTAATGGTTAAATGACTTGATGTGGGCTTCCAAAGGTTTTGTTTGTTGTTTTGTTGTTTGAAAGTCTTGCTCTGCGATCCAAGCTGAAGTGTAAGTGGCATGAGCGCAGTTCACTGCAGTCTTCACTTCCTGGGCTCAAGCGATCCTCCCACAGCCTTCTGAGTAGCTGGGATCACAGGCGCATACCTGGCTAATTTTCTATTTTTGTAGAGATGGGGTCTCCCTATGTTGCCAGGGCTTGTCTCGACCTCCCAGGCTCAAGTAATCCTCCTGCCTTGGCCTCCCAAAATGCTGGGATTACAGAGGTGAGCCACCGTGCCCGGTCCCACTCCACATACTTGTAAGAAGTGGTTGAGCAACCCTGTGGCCTGAGGAGTTGAAGACAGATGGACAAAGGAGAGGAAGTGCCAGGATTCTTCCTCAGTTTGGGGCATCATTTGCCCCTTTAGGAGCCTGTTTGGATCAACAGTAAATGGCAAGAGCTCCTCTGGGCCACCCTCCAGGATACACTTTAAGTCAGATGGGGCCGGAGAGAACATTTTCTTCCAGGTGGATGAAGTCTTGTGCTCCAGACCCTGATGTCTGGAGGACAGCTCTAAAAATGCCCCCAGATGGTGGTGGGGGTGGGGAGTGGCCATCCCTGTAATCCTAGCACTTCAGGAGGCCGAGGAGGGAGAACTGCTCGAACCCAGGAATTGAAGGCCAGCAACAAAGTGATGTCCCATCTCTACAAAATAAAAAACTAGCTGAGCATGGTGGTGTGACCTGTGGTCCCAGCTACTCAAGAGACAGGCAGGTGGATTGCTTGAGCCAGGCAGGTCCATGGTGGCCCCTCAGCACTCCAGCCTGAGCAGCAGAGCAAGACCCTGTCTCAGTAAAAAAGAAATACACTGAGCAACTTTTGTTGGGCCACAAGGAATTTTGTTTATGGATAGGTCCAACCCTCTTCTAGGAAATTCAAGCCTGGGTGACCCCCATCTAAGGTCTCAAATTAGCAGGGCTGGGATGTGAGTGTTCTTTTCAGGAGCCACTGCTACCTAAAGAGGGAGCCTTGGCCAATAGCCCAAACTAAAGGACGCAGCGGTGAGTGGGTCAGTGGGTCTGGGGCCTCCAGATTCCCCGGGAGAGGACAGCGGCGCTGAACCTCCCAGTGAAGACCACTGTGGGAGGAGGAGGGAAAGAGGAATACAGATAAATTTATTAGTTAAATACTGATTTTACAGCCATTTCACCTTAAGACAATGTTAACAGGTTTGTGGGTCAGGGAGGGTCTATGAGGGGCCTTCGGGAAGAAAACAATGTAAATGATTAAAGCAGAATCTTGGCTCAAAGGTATTCTCTGCGACAGCCAGTAGGATTTTGGAGTTAGGGGCTTGGTGTGTGGGGAGGCGTGGTCATGCCACGGTCAGCTACAGCTCTGCTGAGAAAGAGGACGAGGACAGAGTCCGTGAGCTCCAGCGTCAGGGGCGGAAACTGAGCCACGTGCAGAGAAGGCGGCAAGAACCAGAGGCTGTCTCCAGGGCCCGCTGCCACGTCTTAGCAGTCGTCTTCTTCCCATGAGTTTTGTTGTGTTGGGTTTTGTTGGTTTGCTTTCAATTTGTGCTGCAGAATCTCTGGCTTTTTGCCTCCTGGACAAAAGACTTCTGCCGGGGGTGAGGCTGCAGGTCCCGGGGATTCCGGCTGCCATCTGACCAGGGGCCAGGAGGAGCAGACAGCAGGTGGGCCAGCCCTTGAGACACCTTGCCCCCCAGAAGGACGCTGTCCACCTACACTCTCCCCGGAAGGCTCTCCAGGCTTGGCTGAGTGTTTGTCAGACTGGCTTGAACAGCAGAATATTTGCTCTTACTCAGAGCCTCTGTGTGTGACAGGGTGAATGCAGGGTCTGCAGTGAACTCGAGGGGGTGCCGCTTGGCTAAACTACCCAGCTCTTGTTTTGCCAGGGAAGAGACGCGTCCAAGCTGCAGGCGGAGCCAAATCACTCAGAGCAAGAGGAGGGGTTTTTGAGAGATGCTGGAAGTAAAGGCACAAAGGCCCGCAGCACGGGCAGGCACCTGGGAGAGCTGCCAGCTGCATGTGACGAGGCTGCGCTCTGGGTGGGTGAAGTGCCCCTCGAGCTCCCCAGGAAGTGTTCAGTCACTTCTGTGTCACACCCCACAGTTTCGGAGTCAGATCTGGCATTGGGGAGGCAGGATGGAGCAAGGGCGTCTCCCCAGGGGCCTGTCGCATCCAGGTATTGGGCAAGCAGATGCCACCATTCAGGCTGGGGCAGGGGTCCCAGGGCCCGGCCTCCACCCGTTCTCAAATCCTTGTGCTGGGAACACAATGGAAAACCCACCGTCTAGGCCACAGCGGTGAACGCAGGGCACAAGGACATCTCAGGAAAGAAGTCTCCAACTCATAGGAGAGATGCAGTGTGCTCGTGCTGAGGCTCGGCTCCTCCAGTTCCCCCACCATGAAAAGGCATCTGAGAAAACCCAACACCTGCTTCTCCAACCAGATGGTCAACTTCAAGTTTCTTCCCAGTTGTTCTGGAGTCGTCCCCAGGCGAGGAGGCCGGCCCCTGGGAGCCCAGGACCTCCATCTCCACTGTCCTCCAGGTCCCAGGTCCGAGCAGGATTTGAGGAGGGAAGAGGGGAGATTATGCAGTGATTATGTCCCCGTGACTGTCGGCCAAGACCAGGCTGTTCCAAGAGTCCTGCTTGGAGCTGGTCTGCGGAGACTGGCTGACGGGAGACGCATAGCCTTGTGGAGAGAGCTTCAGGGCCGACAGAACCGGGTGGATGGAGGGCCCGTGGCCAGACATCGCGCTGACGGAGAACGTCTGAAAAGCAGAAGGCACACAGTGAGGCCAAGGGAGATGTCCTGAGGGTTCAGGAGGCCTGGGCTGGCGAGGGGCCCTACTATGCAGATGTCCCCAGGATGGCTCCAACCCGAAGGAAGGGACCAAGGAGCACTTCTCTGATCCCAGTGATCTGGACATGAAGGATGTGGGCGATGCATCAGCTGCTTCTGAGCACAGCGTACAACCAGGGCTGTGACCTGCTGGGCCTGTAGATGCTGGGCTTGCTCAGAAGGCTCTGATGGTTATGGGAGATGCTTCCTCCTATCACCACCACATCCACTTGCCAACAGAGAAGCCGTCCGCCCTGCCCAGGAGGAGCTCCTGGTGCCCTTGGTTCTATGGGATCAGGTTCTCCCAGACAATAAGAAGCTCATTAGGACACGGCCTCTCTCACTTAAGAGCAGAGATCAACTCATAGCAGGAGCTGATCAAAGGAGACCGTGATCAAGCTTGGCGCATCCTGATCCCGAGAGAGGGAAGTGCAGAGGGGAAGAGGCAGGAAAGCCGAGACACCATCGCCTCCGCAAGAGGAAAAGCGGGGCTGCCCCCAGGCGTCCCGATAGGCTAGGCGTACGGAGCTGGGCCCCATGAAAATGGCATCCTGCCTGTGACATCCCTGCCAGCCTGCCCCCCCTGCCCTCTGCAGGGTCCAGGCTTTCCCCATGCGGGCTTCCGCCTCCTTCCCCACCCTCCCCTGTTGAAGTCGAACCTCCCTGCAGTAGGAGACAGGCTTGCCTAGAGAACCCTGCTCTGCCTCCCAGAGGGAGCACACCTCCCCTCGCCCAGCACAGGCTGACTCAGGTTGTGGCTGTGTGTTGTTTTCCTCCCCCACCACCCATGCTGTATGCCAGCCCTGACTGCCCTGTCTCTGTTTCCAAAGATGGTGGCATTGAGGAGCTGTTAAAAAATTGTGAGTCACAGTCGTGTCCACATCACCATAGCTTGGTAAGATGTGCTGAAATACAGCCCAATGCAGACGCGCCAGCCTCAGGCAGCCCTAAGGGCGCCAGGGAGCTCCAAGGCGAGCCCAGGGGGTAGCTCACTGCTGGCACCTGTGGGGCCTGGCTGCAGGTCCCACCCCCTACTAGGCTGGCCCCTGGGACTCTGGTCGACCTCCCCACCCGTGGTGTGTACCTGGGACACGGAGCTGCTGTGCCCGTAGTGAGAGGACAGGCCGGGCTCTGTCTTGATGGGACGCATCTCCTCGCTGCTGCTGGTGGTGGCACTGCTGGAGTTGCTGGAAGCACCACTGGTGGGAGGAAGGCTCTCACTGCCGGAAGGACCTGGAAGGAAGCAGTCAGCACACCCCAATCACAGACCCTAATAGGGGCCAGGGACAAAGAGACAGCCTCGACGGGTCCGTGCTAAAGGCTTTATCTCCATTTGCTGGGAGTGCAGCAGGGGCCTTATCAGTGCGGAGCTACAGTTCTCACTGTGATGGGTTCTTCCCCAAGCCCATCTCAAACCCTGGAGGCCACATGTGTTTCAGTATTCAAAACTTAAACACAAATTGCTCATTCAACTTGAAGAATCAAATTTTTTAAAATGCAAGTCCTAGGCCAGGTGCGGTGGCGCACGCCTGTAATCCCAGCACTTTGGGAGGCCGAGGCGGGTGGATCACCTGAGGTCAGGAGTTCAAGACCAGCCTGGCCACCATGGTGAAACCCCATCTCTAGTAAAAATACAAAAATTAGCCAGGTGTGGTGGCGTTCACCTGTAGTCCCAACTACGTGGGAGGATGAGGCAGGAGAATCACTTATACCCAGGAGGCAGAGGTTGCAGTGGGGCAAGATCGTGCCACTGCACTCCAGCCTGGGGGACACAGTGAGACTGTCTCAAAAACAAAAAAAAAAAACAAAAAAAACAAATACTCTGTATTATAGAATATCTCCAGCTGGACCTGGGATAATACTCTGTAATTAAACACATCAGTATCCCCACAGCAAAACACGTAAATATCATAATGAATAGGATAAACAAACTATCAACAGCCTTGTATCTGTTCACATAGGTTTTGCTGCCAAATCTACCTTCCTGGATTTGGAATTTTGTACCGGAGATTGTAGGCCTGAACTGAATGTCTTTTCTACCTGTGATTGCTACATGGGAGGAAATGAGGCCACCCAGGGCACACAGGCTCCTCATCAGCAGCAGGGAAGCAGGAGGAAAGGCGGAGGACCACAGGTGTGAGACACTGAAAACTCCGGTAGGAAATATGCCCGCCCGAAGGGGCAAGGCAGGGTTGAACTTTTATGACGTTCCTGGTAGTGGAAAGGGACAATTTATCTGACTCTGTCATGCCTTAGGTTAGAAGATACATTTTCCATCAGATCAGCCAATTTATTCTCCGTGACTGCAGCACTGACCAGTCAGATCGTTAACGGGGTTAGCAGTACTGAGTGGGAATGTTTTGGTAGGGAACATAAATGTATTAAAGAACAGCCCTCATTCTTTCATAAATTCATATTTAACAGTTAAATATAATTTAATAGTTAAATATAAATAGACATAATTTAATTAATAAGTAATAAATTTTAAAAAGAACAGCCCTTATTCTTTTTAAAATTTATTTATTAGAGACAGGGTCTTGCTCGGCTGTCCAGGCTGGAGTGCAGAGGCACATCATAGGTCACTGCAGCCTCAAACTGGGAGCAGCGGTGATTCTTAATCTACAAGTTTAGAAGGCAGGGTGGTACACTGAAGAGAACACTGACCCGGAAGCACGAAAACTTGAGTTTGCATTCTCGATCGACCCATTACCATCTGTATGACCCTCATTAAATCACTGTCCTCTGTGAGCCTCAGTTTGCTTGTTAGTAAAATGGGGTAATAAACTGGTTTTCATGGAGTCTTAAGTTCACTGAGGTAACATTTCTGACGGGGCTTTCTAAAGCACAAAGCTCTGCATGATGTAAATTACACATTGGCTTAGATCAATCTCGTAGGAACAGGATTAATCGGACCCTGTCCTCTTGCATCTCAGCCCACAGAGAATTGAAACGAACTGAGCTTTTGGGTGGCTGCAGCACCAAAGACGAAGGGACTGAGTGAAGTTCCTCTTTCCTGCTGGCCTTCGATTGGTCTAGCCAGCCCACTGGCGTCTTTACAGCTGGCAATGATCAGGCCCCAACTTTAGTTGAGCCTGCTTAGAAAGCTCCCAGAATGTTCCACGGCAGTTGTTACATTTTTGCTGCTGGGGATGCACAATGTTGTCCTCACACCCTGGCGGCCTGGGCTGGCCTGCCCAACCCAGAAGGCATGATTCTTATCCACTCTGAGGGCTTCGGACATATTCGTATAATCACTCACAGATCTTCTGCTCACCTGCTGGTGTCTTAGATTTGTTCAGGTTCTTTGGCTTCCGTTTTCTGGTTTGAATCCCCTCTTTCCGCATTGCAAGAGGCCTGGGGACCTGGAGGGTCACAAGTCAATATATATGGTTTTCCTTTTCTCCATAATCTGCGACAGCATTGAAACACACACACACCTGCTGCGAGAAGGCAACACCCAAGCAATGTCTCCACAAAGCCTGGGGCTGAGACGGGGTGCACAGGCCCCTGGAACTCTGTGAGAAAGAAATCAGTTCTGTTTTTGAAAACATATCAAGCACCTATGTGATGTGATGGGTACTTTACTAGAGGCTGGAGAAAGAGAACTAAAGACAAACAGTTCCCGCCCTCAGAAATCCACAGACAAGTAGAAAGAAGCAGACTTTGGTAGGTGATGGAGAAAGACCGAGAAACACAAAACTCTGTCCTGGGGTGAGGAGTGGGAAGGAGGGGCACATGAGGACATCAAGGAAGGCTTCATTGTGGAGGTGACACTCGAGTTGTAAAAGGTTTTGAGCAGACAGAGGGAGGCATTTCAGGCAGCAGAGAATGTTCAAAAGCCTTTATCATCCACACAGGACCCTGAAAACACAAGGGTGTGCTAGGCCAGTCACAGTAATCCCGCTCATGCCTGTAATCCCAGAACTTTGAGTGGCTGAGGCGGGAGGATTGCTTGAGCCCAAGAGTTCAAGACCAGCCTTGGCAACACAGTGAGATCCATCTCTACAAATAAGTTTTAAAATTAGCTGGGCATGGTGGTGCATGCCTGTAGTCCCAGCTACTCAGGAGGCTGAGGTAGGAGGATCGCTTGAGCCCAGGAAGCTGAGGCTGCAGTGAGCCGTGATCGTGCCACTGCACTCCAGCTTGGGTGACAGAGCAAGGCCCTGTCTCAAAAGGGGTGAGGGTGCATGGGTGTTGCCAGTAATTGTGCTGGGAAATTGGCCTCAACAGCGACCGTCCCAGTGAGTTGAGATGCAGCATCACTTTACTTACAGCAGCTCTGTACTGCATGGGGTCTGGCTGCAGCCAGTGGTGCAAGAGCCTATGCTAGAGAGACTGACTGTGGCGAGGTCCTGAGACAGAACGTCCCTGGACAGCACTTTGAGCACAGTTCTGCTGGGAGCCGGGCCCCAGAGCCATTCACAGACGCGTCTGCCCGTCCTGGGGAGCAGGGCCGCAGGGCATCTTTCAGGTATGTTTAGGTTTGTGCCTTCCCCACATGTGGTTTCTCTTAGTCTGAGCCAAGTCTCTTAGCCCTGTTCTATGCTATGCTTGTACACCATGTGGGGTTGATCAAGGCCACACCTGCAGATACAGAAAGAAAAGCAATTCCTGCTTCAGAGACATGAACATGGAATGGTTAAGTGAGAAATGCACCAGCGCATGTGAACTTGAACTTGCCTCTTGTTTAACTGTGGGTGGATGCGGCAGCATTTGCAGCCCTGCCCCCACCACCTGCCCATCCGTCTGTGACTCTACACCCAGACCCATACTTTCCCACCTTGTGGGAGGGTGCCCTCTCCCGCCCCATCCCCCCCAGCTATGCCACAAAATTTCAAGCCCATGGTGGTCTCAGAAGAATCTTGCCCTTATGTTAATCTCCATTCACTTAGGTATGCTTTTTTTTTTTCAGCTGCAGTAAAATAAAATACATGTAACTTAAAATTTCCCATCTTAACCATTTTTAAGTATACCGTTTTACAGTGTTAAGCGCATTCACACGGTTCTGCACCCTCACCACCATCCATCCCCAGAACTCTTCTCATCTTGCTAAACTGAAACTCCATACCCATTAGACATCGACTCCTCATTCCCCTTTTCCCCAGCCCCAGATAACACCCATTCTACTTTCTGTCTCTATGGATTTGACATGTGGTGTCAGGGGCCAGAATTCCCTTCCTTTTGAAGGCTGAATAATATCCCACTGTATGTATATATCGCATTTGTTTATCCATTCATTTCTCCATGTACACTTGGGTTGTTTACGTCTTTCTGCAATTGTGAATCATGCTGCTATGAACAGGACCGATAGCTCTTTGAGACCCTGCCTTAATTCCTTTGGGTATACATCCAGAAATGGGATGCTAGATCATATGGTAATTCTATTTTTTATTTTCTGACAATATAATCTTTTTAACACCTATATAATATTTTCCAATAAGTTTCTTGTACCATTCCCATATTGAAGAACAAAATTTAACCATTTTCCTTCCAAAGGTTTTTTCCTCCGTTTTTCCTATTACAGTGATTAGCAAACATCCTTGTATATACTTCTTTGCAGAAAGACATGTGTTTTCTTATGAATGTTTGTAACTTTAACCATTTGTTTGTTCATTATAACAAGAAATCATGAAAAGACACATTGAGATTAAGTTCATAACAGCCCTCTTACTCCACTACCATCAATCCTATCCCAATGAGGCAACTGGATTTAACAACCTGTTACATATGCTTAAATTTAAAAATTCTCAAACACATGTACACATATATATCTACTGATATGGTTTGGCTGTGTCCCCATCAAAATCTCATCTTGAATTGTAGCTCCCATAATTCCCACGTGTTGTGGGAGGGCCCTGGTGGGAGATAATTGAATCCTGGGGGTGGTTTCTCCTATACTGTTCTCACTGTAGTGAGTAAGCCTCATGAGAGCTGATGGTTTTATAAGGAGAAACCCCTTTCACTTGGCTCTCATTCTCTCTTGCCTGCCACCATGTAAGATGTGCCTTTCACCTTCTACCATGATTGTGAAGCCTCCACAGCCACGTGAAACTGTGAGTCCATTAAACCTCTTTTTTCTTTTGGGTATGTCTTTTTCAGCAGCAATTAGCAGTATAAAAACAGACTAATACACCTATAGATGTACATTTGCATATATATATTCACCCATCCACTGGTCCGTCCACCAATCTGTATGTGTGTGTTTAATACACCTTCAATACTCATAGTATGGGGTCATGCTATATATATTTTTTTGCAATGTGCTTTTTCATTTTCTAGGTCAAGCAAGATACGTGGCTCTAGGTTATTATTTTAAAATTTCTCCTCAATATTCTGCATTTTGGGACATACCAGAATTTATTCAAGCATTCCCTTATGGGGTTTTAAGGTTGTTTCTAGTTTTTGCCACCTCAATGCAAAAACAAGTGGTCCAAAGGTCATGATGCACTGGGTATTTTTCATAGGCTAGTTTCCCAATAGGAGACCTGCCAGATATAAAGGTATTCACGGTTTTAATCTTAAAAAATTCCACTAAGCTAATAGATGCAGTAATTCAAATACAAATCAATAATACATGAGAGTATCAAATTCCCCAAATCCATAGCAGCCCACATTTTACTTTTTGCCCAATCTATGGGCAAAATGGGGACTTTCACAATTGTTTTCGTGTACACATCCCTGATTTTCAGTGAGATTCAGCACATCTGCACATGCTTCATGTGAGATGTCGGTCTATATCTTTTGCCCCTTCGGGGGAAGTGGGGAAAGATCAATTGTTATTTTCTTATTGGGCTATAAGATCTATCTGTTTCTGCTTTGACTTCATTTTAATTTAACTTGTATTTAAACAATGAAGACTTGCATATGTAGCATCTAAGGTACAAAGTGGGTCACAGCAAAAAGAGTGTTCTTCAATCCCTTCTCCCCAAGACCCCAGTTTTTCTCCTGGAGGCACCCCATGTACATGTACATGTACAACGCACACATGCAACCACGTGACCAACTTCTACACATCCTTCCAGAGGCATTCTGTGCAAGTGCAGACAGCCACCTGTAAATTATGTTCTTCCTCATACTTATAGAAAGAGTGCCATACGAGGTCGTGTTCTGCACCCTGCCTTTCTGTTAACACTGTGTAATAGAGGATGTTACCGTCAAATGTAAAGAGCTTTGTAGAAGCTCCTTCTAATTCTGGAAATCTTAACCCTGTTTCTGATGCTGTGTGTTGGTCTTTACTTTCCGTAGGTATCATTTCCAGACACTAACAGTAAATATTTACAAAATCAAATATATCTAACTCTTTTTACATGGCTAAACATTTTTTAATTTTGTTTAAGAAGTTCTCCCATCTCCAAAGTTATAGAAATACTTCCCCTTACATTTTCTTCTGGTGCTTTTATAGTCTGATTTTTTTGTAGTACTTTATTGTCTAATATTTTTATTTTTTGGAGACAGGGTCTCATTTCGTCAGTCAGGCTGGAGTGCAGGAGCACAGTCATAGCTCACGGCAAACTCCCGGGCTCAAACCATCCTCCTGAGTGGTTGGGACTAGAGGCATGCACCACCATGCCCAGCTAGTTGTGCGTGTGTGTGTGTGTTTTTGTAGAGACAAAGTTTCACCATGTTGTCCAGGCTGGTCTTGAACTCCTGACCTCATGCAATCCTCCTACCTCAGCCTCCCAAAGTACTGGGATTACAGGTATGAGCCATCATGCCTGGACTTATTTTTAGTTTATTTAATGCAGTTTTACATTTAATATCTTTAATTCACCTACATTTATTTTTGTTTAAAGTAGGAGGTGGAGGTCATGCTTTCCTTTTGTTTTCCAAATGAACAGCCAATTTTGTCAATGCAGTTATTCTTAAGTTTTTTATCTGCTGAATTGAAATGTCACCTTTGTTACATATCAAACTGCTATATATAAATGTACCCTGCTCATCTGTCAAATGGAAAATTAACTTATACAATGCAAAGGACAGAAGAGACAAGCAAAGTTGAGAGTCCCTTCCAAATCTAAGTATCCTTGTTAAGAAGGAAAAATGAATGCTAGTCCAAAGGAAGAGGCCCAGTGAGGACTGAGGGATGGGCATTGGAAGGCACGTACCCCGTGGAGCTTCATGTAGAGGCCGCAGGCGTTGCACACAGGCTCACCCTCCGCATTGCGGCGCCACAGCGTGGTGGTGGTGGTCTGGCAGTTGGCGCAGGAGAGGCCCACTCGGCGGGAGGCAGACTGCAAGACGGGAAGCAAACCCTTCACGTCCGAGGAAAAGGCGCGCACTGCCCTGCCACCTCACATGTGACTGCGGGGCTCTGCCTAATGGCCCCGTGTGAGATCTCTGACCCGCGACAATACCTAACTCTCCCATCTCCTGAGCCACTGCTGGGATCAGGGTTTCTGCTGCACAAGAAGAGTGAACATGGGCACTGAAGACCTGGCTTCCAGTCCTAGCCATCATTTACCGCCAGGCAAATAATTCAGTGAGCGCCGGGCACTGCAGGCAGCAAAGCTTCTGTTGTGAGTGCAACTGATGTGGGCTGCAGGTGCCAGGGCAGGGAGAGTGAGAAGTCATGGCGTCCAACTGGTATCAGAGTCTGAGTGGCCCTGGGACCTCAAGAAAGGCATGCACCAGGGTTGATCCCCCCTCTTCCTCCCTCCTTAATATAGTGCAAGCTGGTGGGTGTTGATCAGAATCAAATGATATTAAACAGGAGTGTGGAGCCAGGAGCCAAGCCCCAGGCGCAAACTCTTCCCCAGCCACAGGCCCCACACCAGCTGTTTGCACTTCTGGGCTTTGCGACTTATCAACTGCTAACTGAAGTCGGGGTGGAGGCCAGACTGTGAGGTGAGCCTCCTCGCAGGATGGGCACGGATGGAGGAGACACTCCAGTCAACCCCGGACTGGGAACCCGGAAACCTGGATTCTGGCCCCAGATGGGAGACTCAGTACCCGAGTGGCTGTGGGCAAGGCCACTAGCTTTTCTGAGCCTCACTTTCAGTTTCCGTGTGCCGAGAAGATTGACACAGCCTGGGTCATGCCGGTAGCTCCTGCTAACTCTAAAGCTGTGGGAATGTTTACGTGGCTCTCACCCGTCTAATCCCTAGATCCACAGTCTCAAGTCCCAAAATTCAAAACCAGAGGACGTCCCACCAAGGCAGTAGCCCTGTAGCCAGTGCCGAGGGGAGGCCACGAGGGGGAGGCCGCGAGGGGCGCGCTTACCAGCCGGCGCTGGGGCTTGATGAGTGGCCGGTTGATGCCGTTCATCTTGTGGTAAAGGCCGCAGGCGTTGCACAGATAGTGACCCGTCCCGTCTCGCCTCCAGAGCGGGGTGGACATAGCCCCACAGTTGACACACTCTCTGCCTTCTGAGAAGTCGTCAAACATATCTACTGAGTTGGGGGGAACAGACAAGAAAAGATACAGAGGATTAATTCTTTTACATACGAGAATCTAGATGGCGCAGAAACAATGCCTTTCCTTGGAAGGAGAAGACCACCTTGGGCTGCCCTTGCTCTTCCCCACTCCAACCTCAGCCCCTGCTCCCTAATCTCGGACATAGCAGAGCTCCCCTGAGCACGAGAAGAGAAAAGTCGCAGCAATCACCTGCACCCTGGGCTGGGAGGCGGACACCTGGATTTCAGTCCAGGTATCACATTCAGGGCCTCCAGCCCAGGGCCCTCACCTCACACTGAGGGAGCCCTGGGCTCCCCTCCCCTACTCTCCCCTCTTCTCTTCTTTTCTTTTCTTGAGACGGAGTTTCACTCTTGTTGCCCAGGCTGCAGTGCAATAGCGCCATCTTGGCTCATTTCAACCTCCGCCTCTCAGGTTCAAGGGATTCACCTGCCTCAGCCTCCCAAGTAGCTGGGATTACAGGCATGCACCATTTTTAGTACAGACAGGGTTTCACCATGTTGGTCAGGCTGATCACGAACTCCTGACCTCAGGTGATCCACCCACCTTGACCTCCCAAAGTACTGAGATTACTGGCATGAGCCATCACACCCAGCCTTGTGAGACTTTTGTATGTTGATACATATTTTTGCCAAGCTATATAATTCTTAGTCTGGGGGTTTTTGCTTAATACCAAAGCATTTTCCCAATAAAAAATTCTTTATAAACTCATTTTATAAAATTCTTTATAAACTCCTATGTCATTATTTTATCATATAAATGTGACATCATTTAACTAGTACCATTCAACAATTCATCTTTATCCAGTTTTGGATTCTTGTTTTGTAAACACTGCTTGGTTTTCACATAAATCTGTGCATTTCTAGTTATTCCTTAGGATACTGGGAAGTAGAATTTCTGAGTCAAAGAGACTAGATTTCTTTGTAAGTTCTTGGAATATCCTTCCTTCTTTCCCTCCCTCCCTCCCTCTCTCTCTCTCTCTTTCTGGGATGGAGTCTTGTTCTGTTGCCCAGGCTGGAGTACAATGGCATGATCTCGGCTCACTGCAATCTCCACCTCCCAGGTTCAAATGATTCTCCTGCCTCAGCCTCCCAAGTAATGGGATTACAGGCATGAGCCACCATGCCCAGCCAGTTCTTAGAATTCTCTAACTGTCCTGCAAAAAGGGACTTCATTCATTCATTTTTCTCTGTTTGAATTTACCTGTATGGGCTGCTGTATCATAGTTTGACACTTCTCTTGCTTATTGATATGTAACTAAAGGTGCATATTATAAGTAATGGCACCTTACAGCTGCTCACATGAGCTGAGTGGTCCCCCGACCAGAAGGCTGCCAGGATCGGCCACTTCCCTTCACTCACTCGTCGCTCGCCACCATCACCTTTATCATCCGTGTCTACAGAATGTCACCATTGACAGATTCCATTTGCGTCCATTCTCCTTGCCCTGGTGAGACGGGCAGGGCCAGTTCTCTTATTCCCTGTCATCTGTATAAAGCCGGGCTCACAACTTCCAGAAGTCTCTCTGACTTCATGTTATCCTAACTTTCTGTCCCTAAACATGTCTACCTTGGTCTCCAGATCACTCCTGTGCTGCTGCCAGAGGCAAGGGCAGACTCTTCTCTAGTGAAGAGGGGAGCTTTCTTGGAGTTGGGAGGAGGACACGTGGTGAAGAGCTCCCTTTCCAACAGGACCCAGCCCAGGAGGGGTTAAGTCTGCGCATTTTGCTAGTTCTGTGGCCCAGCTACTTGCTCTAAGGGAACGTGGGCTAGAGAAGAGGATGGTGGGGGGCCTCCCCCCAACTCTGGGGACACAAACAGTCATTTGCACCTGCAAACAGGTAGCTGTATGTCCACACCAAGTAAACAGTGTGCAGGTGTGAGGGGCTGTTTGCTCAGGCCAGGGGGCGGAGCACAGGCGTCATGGCAGAGGCTATTTTTACACCTGGGTCACACTGACAGCCTCCACCAAGGTCACCTGCCCTCGGAGCCACACGATTGGCGACTCCCACCCACGCTCGCCCCCAGCTGGACCATCGCAGTCAGTACTACTGGGGCCACCTCTGCAGTCCGGGCCCATGGCCTGTTAGCACCGCTTCCTCCACCCAGGCCTGCCCATGAGGGGATTAGAGAGGCCAGGAATTCACAGCAGGACCCTGGGCCAAGCCAACTCCACAGCAGGAGGGGAGCGCACGCAAAGTCGTCATTTTATTGTGTTTGCAATAAACACTAGATGGCACTACCATCTCAAAACTGAACCAAGACGTGCAGTCTAGCCTCAACCACACGTGGACACGAAGGCCTTGTAAGATCAACTTTCCAGTCCAAACCTACTGCAACCCTCTCTTTCTGTTTTGCTTTTTTATTTTATTGTGTTCTTCAGAGACTGGGCTCACTCTGTCGCCCAGGCTGGAGTGCAGTGGTGCGATCACAGCTCCCTGCAGCCTCTACCTCCCGGCCTCAAGAGATTCTCCTGCCTCAGCCTACTTTTCCTTTTCTTATCTTTTTTTTTTTTGAGACAGGGTCTCACTCTGTCACCCAGGCAGGAGTGCAGTGGGCACTGCGACCTCAAGCCTCCTTAGCACCTGGGACTACAGGCATGCGGCACACGCCACCATGCCCAGCTAATTTTTGTAGAAATGAGGTTTCACCATGTTGCCCAGGCTGGTCTCAAATTCCTGGGCTCAAGTGATCCTCCTGCCTTGGCCTCCCAAAATGCTAGGATTACAGGCATGAGCCACTGCACCCAGCCCTATTTTTCTTTATTATGAAAAACTTTAAACATATTCAGAAGTGGACAGAATATTTAAACGAACACTTAGCCATCACCCAGCTTCCAATCATTTGTGGTCAATCTTGCCTTATCTACACCTCCGCCCACTTTCCCCATATTGTATTACTGAAGAAAATCCCAGACATTCTGTTACTGTATTCATAGATATCTCAGTATGTTGCTCTAACAGATAAACACTCACACTCTTTTTTTTTTTTTTTTTTTTGAGACGGAGTTTCGCTCTTCTTACCCAGGCTGGAGTGCAATGGCGCGATCTCGGCTCACCGCAACCTCCTCCTCCTGGGTTCAGGCAATTCTCCTGCCTCAGCCTCCTGAGTAGCTGGGATTACAGGCACGCGCCACCATGCCCAGCTAATTTTTTGTATTTTTAGTAGAGACGGGGTTTCACCATGATGACCAGGATGGTCTCGATCTCTTGACCTCGTGATCCACCCGCCTCGGCCTCCCAAAGTGCTGGGATTACAGGCCTCACACTCTTAAAGATAAACAAACTGACTTCTCTCCTACATTCAGGTTTATTTGATCAATTCCATGATCGAAAAATCTCATAATCTGTTGTTGTTCTTTGGAGGTGAGATTTTATTTTCTCCTCACAATTATTGCTTTATATGCAGGAATGGAGTCTTTTTTTCTTCTTCCCACACTGAAAAAATTTTTTTCAGACACAGTCTCACTCGGTCCTCCAGGCTGAGTACAGTGGTGCTGGCTCACTGCAGCCTTGACCTCCTGAGCTCAAGCGATCCTCCCACCTCAGCTTCTTAAGTTGCTGTGGCTACATGTGCATGCTACCATACTTTGCTAATTTTTTTGTATTTTTGGTAGAGAGAGGGTCTCACTATGTTGTCCAGGCTGGTCTTGATCTCCTGAGCTCAAGTGAACCTCCCACCTCAGCCTCCCGAAGTGCTGGGATTATGGGTGTGAGCCACTGTACCCATCCCAGAATCTTATTAAAGGACCCAGGAATCCCTGGAGCGTCCTCTCAGCTGCTAACTCACCTCTGGCTGCCTTGAGATCCCCACACAGGTGTGCCTCAGAAGCTCCTGCAGGTTCACCTCGAAGATGGGTTATGCATTCGAGCAACTATTTTCCTGTCCAGGTAAAGTCACCGGAGGCTGGCAAATATGTATGTGTCACCAGCAAATATTTACTGAGCATCTGCTATTTAATCACACTGATAGATGCCACAGAAGCTCGGAGGGAGCCCAGGTCTCAGAATGCTATTGATCTAGTCGGACAAATTGGATTTGAATATCAATAATGAGTAACAATATTACTCGGTTCATTTTTAGAACATACCCTCAGCAGAGGAGGGGACTTGTGGCAGACCCTAACTGTCTATGGCAGAAAGTGTGGAATTCCCACCAGCCTCAAAGTCCCATTGCGATAGAAGGGTCAGGGGTTACCAAAACAGCCGAAGCAAAGGCTGTGCTTCCTAAAGACACCCGCTGACAACCCACTACCCCTCCAAATCTGCAGATGTCTCCCTGTTTCTGACCACAAAATCTTGCCATCCACCCTGCTCAATGAAATGTTACACCCATTTTAAATAATTATTACAAAACAAGGTAACCATGGAGGAAAACAGTGACCCTATAAGGTTAAATAACACAGCAGCTAAAGCCAGATACACTGTGACCACCAAAGCAGCTTTTCTTACGCTCATTATGATAAAACACCATTCTGTAATGTCATCATTGCCTATTTTTAAAAATCTGATAAAAAAATAAAAACAAATATCTGATCACCCCCAGCAGCTGCGATTCCACACTAAGGAAGGTACCGTTTTGCCCTCTTCCATCTGACACATACCAATTGTTCCGTCCTTGGACTGAAGAATGGAAACAAAGAGGTTCCAGCTTTGGGGCTGAGCATCTACTCTACGGGAAATTGGGGTGACAGGCTGTAACAAGTCCCAAACTAGCACGAACATCTCCTATGAGCCTTGGGAAGAACCCTTTCTCATCCCTTCCTAGGAAAGGCACTCAGAGAACCTTCCCAGGGGGCAAGAGTGATTCAGAAGGCAGGGGGCACAGCTGTGGCCTCAGATGCAGCCCCACCCGCCCAGTGCTGGCATCCTGGGAACTGCTCCAGCCACTGGGAAGCATCACCCACGTTTGGAGGAAAGACTTGTAATAATAGTTGTAAAGTACTTTGCGAATGACAGGAAAAGCTGACGACCATGGCTG